GCCTTCTGCAGATCGATGAAGCACATGTAGAGCGGGATTCTCCTCCTCCGCCCCAGCTCCTGGAGTCGGCGCACAACGAACAGCATGCATACCGTGGATCGGCCAGGCCGGAACCCGCACTGTTCCTCCGGGAGGATTTCGTTGGCTTCGCAGAATGCGCTCAGGCGGTTGGTGATGGTCTTGGCTTACATGCGCATACAGAATCACGATCTGATATCGAGTCCTGAAACTCCTGCTGAAACGCCAAAAATGAAGAAACACGTCAACTTAGGGTTTCCAGCTTCTTTGCCCTCTGCTACTTTTACTGATGCTGTACTCTTTGTTTTGCTCTGCTGTCCTTCTTGTCTTTTGCGCGCTCTTTTATCCATGCAGGCAATCCAATATGCCCTTGTACTCCTTTGTACCATGGCGGTGGGCTCGTTTCATGTCCCGCTACCGCTCAGTGTCATCAGCAGAAGTATCGTTCCATGTTCTGCACGACAACACCATCTGCTCTTGCTGTCGGCGGAACGGAGAGGTAGAGGTATCGAACCAGAGGAACCCCTTTTCGAGGGACCTATCCTACTGCCTCCTGCCGATTACACCAAGCCTGGACGAGTGGTGAACTTGGTGAGTTTGCTGCTTCTGGGACGTGTCGAATGCTGAGCGCTGTCTTGTTGTCTTTCAAGTATAACTCTCCTATCGAGCTGTGTGTGTAGCCTACAGCAGTGGGCAGTGCGAGAGGCATCACGTACACCTGCCGGCCAGTTCCCGTGAACAGCAGCAGTACAGGAGGAACCCGCCCGTTGACATCCGCAGGCATGCATTCCACACCTCGAACCGCGCATGAAAGCGCTGGAGATAAGCATTCATATGTTCAAATTCTACCAAGTTGAGACACTGAGACACAGCTGTCGTTGCACTTATAGTTGCGCCGCATGTCGAATATATATCGGATTGTGTTACTGTCGGTGACAGATGATACCACACCCCCGACCTTCCAGAGACAGTTGTAAGCACTGTGTAACTGCCTCGAGGATGCGTGACCATTTTAACACAACGTGAGACGATCATCCCCCTTGCGCGGAGTGAGGCTTCTCCACCCCGCACAACATGATCTCCTCGACCACCATTATGGTTTCCGCCAAAAAAAAAAACGGAGGTAAAAAAAAAAAAATACGGCNAAGCACTGTGTAACTGCCTCGAGGATGCGTGACCATTTTAACACAACGTGAGACGATCATCCCCCTTGCGCGGAGTGAGGCTTCTCCACCCCGCACAACATGATCCACTCGACCACCGTTATGGTCACCGC